TCCAATGATTTATACGCTCGTAGCGAGAGAGCGCAATAAAAAAAATTAATTTCAATTTTTACTGCCCCATAAAATCAATTTGTTAATGACAGTTCGTGAATTTTCGATACGAACAACGGAATTATTTATAATCAAAAAATACAAAAGACACACACAGACCCAGAGAGAGAGAGAGAGAGAGAGAGAGAGAGAGAGAGAGAGAGAGAGAGAGAGAGAGAGAGAGAGAAAGAGACAGAGAGAGAGAGAAAGAGTAAGAGAGACCTGCTATAGCTATATATATTTTAATTTATTTTCTGAATCTTTAGAGAAGATAACAAAGACATGCTACAACAATATATATTTTTATTTACTAATTTTATGATATTCTATAAATAATCTCTGAAAGAAGCAAAAATCTATCACCACACATACACTAAACTTTACTCAGTATTTGTCCGTATTTGTGCGTGTGTGTGTGTGTGTCGTGTGTTTGTTTGTGTGTGTGTGCGTGCGCGCGATTACGCACGTGATGTTGTCTGTGTGGTATGTGACTTCTTTAGTAAATTAAATGAAAAAAATAAACTGATTAACAGAAAAAAGTAAAAAAAAAAATTAATGAATATACAGGCATTTAGGATGCGAAAATGCCAGCAACATTTATGGGGCCGAAAATACTTCTCTCGTCACGCACATCCCTGTTTTTATTTCTATGCTATACAGGTGTATTTCACGAGATAAACACGGTTGTAAGAAGAATAACAACATTCATCTGAAAACTAACAACAACAATAACAATAACTAACCACTTCAACTGAAACGACAACAACAATAACAACGATAATATAAATAATAATAAAGTCAGAAACAACAACAATAATAATAATGTAGTACAGGTAGCTTGATGTAGGTAAGATTGTTGTTGTTTCGCTTCTGCTTATTATACGTTACAAAATAGACTGATTTGTTCATGAAATTATGAAATTGATCAATTAACAAGCCTGGAAAATTTGTAAATGAAATTTTGTAGTGTTATTTAACTTTCAAAGTTTGCATTTTTTCGATTTTATTATTTAATCTAATTTTAGAACTATTTTTAAAAACAATTTTATGAATTAATGGAAATTAATTAAATTAAAATTAAATAAACGAGTGTATGTCTGAATGAAATCTATGTTTAAAAAAAGACTGCACGAACGTGACAGGTAACATACATTTCTATTTTTGGAATTCAACAACATTTTTCTCCAGCTAATTATAACGTTTTTTTTATTATAATTTATTTAAATAAGTAGTGTTGTGTCAAATACGTACTACTACATATACACATTAGTATAGTTTATAATATAATCTTATTATTAATAACCTACATTATTACTACTTTTAAAAAATATTAACGCCAAATACATTTCTACAGAATTTTATTTTTTAAAATACTCTACCTCTAACGCAGATTTCGAACCAAATAAAAAATCAAATCATTGAATAGACAGCAATATCGAGAAGAAGAATGGTCCATACTGCCTTCTAAACAGAGTGCATCCAACAGATACCCACCTTATAATCCAAACCTCTCTACTGCCAGTTAACGCTATTTTCAAACCACCTCTCCAACATTCTCAACTGTTTCTAACAATTTAATAGCAGCAGAAAAAGCAGCCAGCCGGAGACCCATTCACCTTCCGGACAGCCATGAACTCCGACAACGATGATGACGACATTCGCAAACCTCCCCTCGACGACCTCGATGAATCCACAGCGCACCCACAATCTCCAACAAATCCTCAGTCACCCCAGCCACCTGCCGAGCAAATTTCACCCCAGGAGTCAGAAAAAGATAGGAAAAAACGGTTAAAGTTAGAGGAAAAAGAGCGCGAAAAAAGGGAAAAATCGCTAGCGAAAGCGGAAAAGGATAGCAAAGGGCGGACGCAGGCAGGAGAGGGAGGTTTCGTTAAAAATACGTTTTCCCATATTTCCGGGTTTTTTACCAGCCCCAAGCCCTCAAAATCCCGACCGGAAGTGAGGCCCAAAGAAGGGGTCACGTGTCGAGTCGTGCTTCTTGATGGGTCGGATTATCAGACTGTTGTTGATGTTAGAGATGGCGGTGATGATAGTAATTAAGATGGTGGTGATGATGATGAAAATGTTGATGATGATGATGTGATGAATGGTGATTTAGTTCGATACAAATTATGGTGACGTCATTGGTTTGATGTATTTAAAATCACTCAACCACATGTGTCATCATCTTCGTTGCTTTAGTCACCGTCATCAAACCGTCGTCACCATCATCACGGACAATCATCATATCAAATCACTCATCACCTTAACTGTCGTCGTGACGTCATCACCTTTATCATCGTCGTGACGTCATCATCATCACCTTAATCATCGTCGTGACGTCATCGTCATCATCTTAATCACCGACCAATAGAAATACGCGTACGGACAGCACTTGATGG